GATTCTTCACAGAAGCTACAATCTTACTCCACCTACACAACAATGCTGTCTCATGCTCCCGATATATGGCATAGCTCGCTATGATGTAACGAAGTGCACGACCACGATTCTTCACAGAAGCTACAATCTTACTCCACCTACACAACAATGCTGTCTCATGCTCCCGATATATGGCATAGCTCGCTATGATGTATCGAAGTGCACGACCGAACCGGGCGAGTCCAGCACACGGTGCACGTCTGATTTCTGAGACTCTCTGCAGCGTTGGCTCGGCAGGGGCTACAACCCCAAGCTCTCAGCGTAGCGCCATGGGGGCCTACTATGTCAATGACAATGTGCGCATCAAGGCAACTGGCAAAATGGGAACCGTGACGCTGACGAACGGACATGCGGTGAAGGCCGCATATTCCTACAGCATCTGGTTGCCACAGACTTCTGAGAACCAATGATCTGGCATCTTCATGTTTCCCGGAATTATGCGTGCATGACCCTTCCTGAAAGGTGCTGGGAACGTGGTGGCATGTAGAAGAGGTGGAGCCGCTCCCTTACATGGGCTCCGGTCCGTACCATGCCCGTTTCCAGCAGACCATGTTGCGGATCAAGGTGGGCTGGTGGGTTTGGGGCACACGATTCAGCATGGCGGCATATGGCGGCTTTTGTTCTGCTCCACAGCAGCAGAATTGGAGAAGACATGTACAATTCCAAAGTTAAAACCACGAGATAGACACTGCATGAATTCCAGCATGCTGACACAGAGACTGCCAGCACTGCCGCGCAACAGGGCTTCTCCGGACTCCAAACTGCAGCACTTACTTGATGCCCATTGCCAGGATCCCAAGAAGTCGATCCCCTTCTATGAGGAAAACTTCGGCATGAAGCTGATCCATTGGATTGAGCTTCTTGGCAGATGAGTACCCATGGTGCTCTTATCATAGTTAAAACTCAGGCCGTCTCATTCATTCTGGCACCTTTTCCTTGCCATCGAATTGTCAATGTCTTTAAAAGTGACGGTATGCTATTGAACTAGTACATCGGCGACCTGTCATGGCTTCGGCAGCTTCTCGCCAGGTTTCCCCAGTGGAAGTTCACAGTCTACTTCTTGGAGCGCCCAAGAGAAGGGCAGACTGTTCCTGCATGCAGCATGGAGAAGACCACCTTGGAGAACGAGAAGTATCTTTGGACCATGTCAGGCCCAAGCCCTGAACATGTACCCTTAGCTTATTTTGGCGCGAAGAGGGTGTTATGGTGCACGCGCAGCCGACAACATGTTTATGTTTCGGCTTAGCTGGTTTGCATCCTGTCCAGGATCCACTTTGGAGCTCACTCACAACCATGGTGAAGAGATGAACGACAACTTCAAGGTTTGGAATGGACATGTAGGCCGGGAGCGCCCGCAAAGGCTTCATTGATGATTCATGCCCGCACAGCACGGTAGTGCTCAGGATTGATTCTTCAGCTAGCCAGGATATCCTTAAATACCACGTGGACCCTGAGTTTCCTGGATGCTTGCACTTTCATACCGCCATGGCCTGCAGCCCTCTTCAGGGCGTGTGTTACTGCAATGACCAGAACTCCTGAGATAGCTGAGGTATATGTAGCGACTCCAGCCCCCAAAACGTGGCAAGCCTTTCCCCTCGCCGGCTGAAAGACAAGAACAGCGGCTTCCACTCTGCGTGGGCAGGACGCGACGGAGAAGGTGCAAACTATGCTGATGAGCCTGCCACCCGGCCGGACGGATCGTGAGGCAGCCTGATAGAGAGTCCGCGAAATGATTGAAATGACGGAGGATCAAACCCTTTAGCAGCCGAGGCAGCACGTGGGTTCGGGCATGTCGCCTTCAACTGCGACGATGTGCAACATGGACGCGCATAATTCAGGGCTTGTCGGCGACCGAGAATGCGAGTAGCACCAGCGGCAGCAGCAACAGCAGCGGCGGCAGGACTCGGAGTGGGAGTGGCAGTGGGAGTGGGAGAAGTCCTAGCCCTAAGTTCTGGTGCTAGTGCTACCCTAACTACATGATTGCCGTCACTGCCGCAGCCGCCACAGTCCCCGCTACCACCGCTGCTTCAGCGACTATGATTGACATCACATGCGATGACTGACCGTTGTAATTCCGATAACAATGTCATGGCTAACTTCTGTCTAAGCCCGGGAAGTTGCCACAACAAGTCTTCAACCATGGTCCGGATCTTTGGCCGTCTTCAAGCCAAGGTACGAAGCTTGCGAGCGTTTGGAGAAGAACGGTGTGTGGCCTGGCACCCACTCCCGAAACACTCAAGTAACCTCGCATTGTACTGGAAGCAAATGTCGTCAGTACCAGCAAGCAGCGCTCTGTACCACCGCATTATAGCAGGCACCGCTCGAATAGTCTAGAGTTGCCCGCTTGAAGCATCGGTCCAGGAATCATAACTGGAAGTGCCTTATCCAGTTCCGGATAAGGTTCAAAAGAGCAGTAAATCTTATAGTGGCTCGGCCAGGAAGTTTCAGAAGAAGCCGGACGAAGGTCGAATGAAGGGCTTGGCCTTTGCATTGGATCCTGACGGCTATTGGGTGGAGATCGCCCCTTGAAGTAAATATCTGTCGTGAGCCCATGAGACTTCCAACACAGGAGCCTGCCTCGAACTGACAGGTTAGGCGCGAGAAGTTGGGATGGAAAGAGTACTACAACCTCTCTCAGACAATGCTTCGCGTGCCCCTTTCCTTGCAGTCGGTACTTCTCGTAGTTATACTTGAGGGCTGGCAAGTGGGACTCAGGAAGGATGGCCCCGCCAGCGTAGAGTTTTACACCAAGCACTTGGGAATGACGCTGCTGCGAAAAGTGGATTTTCCCCAATACAAATTTTCATTGCACCATGGCTGAGAGAGAAGAGGCAAGTGCATGGCTGTTGGTTGCATAGTGCCAGCATAACAGTGCACTCTCAAGTACTACTGCCTTCAGCATAAAAGTTGTTAGAGCAGTTTCTGTCGAGGGTAAATTGGTTTTTCACTCACCATGTTGTTAAATGATGGGGTCTGTCATTGTGACATGATCTGAGATACTTCCTGGCATCGCTCACGCCGGCTGAGCTTGCGGATTGCCTGCCACTTGATCCTGAAAACAAGCACGCCGGCGGCCTGAATCCGGAGGTTCCGAATGCTCTGACGAAGATCGCCTGGAGCCTTGGAACTTCGAATAGCTCTCGGGGCTTTAGCAGTTTGACTTGTTGTCTGTGCATTATCTCTGTGCTATCAGCTGCAAAGAGGAACCAGTGCCTCGAACTCACTTGGAATCACGGCACCGAGAAAGACCCCGATTTCAAGGCACGTCTTCAGCTGTGAAGCTTTGGCCACCGGCACACGGTCTGTCTGAATGTGGAGGTTCACGATGGAAATTCTGAGCCCAAGGGGTTTGGCCACATCGGCTTCATCGTGGACAACTTGCAGGCGGATTTGCACAATAAATAGGTGTCTACGGGATCTGTTCAAGGCTTGCGGCTCCAGGCTGTTAGCATTCGACAGAAAGGCGAAATACACCAGAGGGAAGCAAACCACAGATCAGACTGCCAGACCGACATGAATTGCAGAGGCTTCATGGGGCAAGGTTCGGGAAAGCTCAGCTACACTGTCTGAATGCCACAAGAGCGTGTCCTGTTTATCCACCATAGCATTTCCAGAGCTGTCGGGACCATCGGGACCCCATCTCCGATTAAGCTCTCTTTCTTCAAGATATCATGAGCGACTCTGCGTCCTCGTCAGTGCCAGGAGTCCTGCGACAGGATGGAGGCGCAAGGCGTCCTCTTCAAGAAAAGACCGCAAGACGGCAACATGCGAGGCTTGGCTTTTGCCTACGACCCAAACGGCTATTGGGTGGAGCTGGTTGACCGAACAGCCTCGTTCTCTGGCATCTGCTCGAACTACTGACGCCAGTACCCGGCAGCTTTAAGCCCGAGCCGTACCAAGCGCTCTAACACCCTCGTCATGGGACAGACCTTGTCGCTTGCAGTGTAAATAGCACGACACCAGGAGCCAGAGCAAGCCCGTGATTGATACAGTTCATTGCTAGAACACGAATGAAGGCTTCGATTGCTCTGAAGGTTTCACCATCGTTTTTCCCTAAGTGACCCTTGATTGCGCTTTTGCAAGAAATCAAGTCCGTTGGTGCGTGGAACCTGAGTACACAAAGGCATGTACGCAGCGTGTCTAAATACGCCATGCAGCGCACAGACACACTTACCGACAGTTCTTGTGCATGCACCCCCAAACTTGCTACAAGCATGTGTGCCTGGAAGTACATGCACAAAGAAGGTGTATGTGCCTATGCAAATGTATTTACAAGTGTCATATCTCCATACCTACATACAAAAACATGCACGGGCCCGCCCACACTACCTACCTTACCTACCTACCTACCTACCTACCTACCTACCTACCTACCTACCTACCTACCTACCTACCTACCTAACCTACCTACCTACCCCGCTACGCACAGATGGACGTACCTATATATCTATATCTATATCTATATATCTATATATCTATATATCTATATATCTATATGTCTATATATCTATATATCTATATATCTATATCTATATGTGTGTGTGTCTATGTGATATATGTTTATGTAATTATGTTTCAACGTACGTTGTTTCAGCGCCTGAATAAACACCGAGCAAGTAACACGACTGTGCGTATGCAAAAATGCCCGTATGTACAGGTATTACACCAGCACGCACGCGCACGCACGCGCACACACACAAACACAGACACAGACACAGACACAGACACAGACGCAGACACAGACACAGACACACACACCGTCACACACACACACACGTCGAGACACACTCAGAGGAACACAGAGAGACACACCCCCACATCCCCACA